AGTAATGAATTTTTGCCTTTTCATTTGCTTGTGAAAATGACAGGAAATAACAAGCCAAAATCCTTATCAAAATAATATTCTCAAATATAATCATGTCAAATATAGCTCCCATCAATTAAGAAAATACAGATTTGAGATCACCAGTGCAGCCTTAATTCTGCTACATTATGCATTTATGTTATCAGGCTATCTTTAATTAACTACTGACATCTTAGCTTTTTTCCACCAAACAATGTGTCATTCAGTCAACTGGGTAAATGGTACTGGGAATAAATCATGTAGAGAACTAGGCTGTTGCTTGTAGCATTCCTATCTCATATCTGTTGCCCTTGGTATATAAATAAAAATTATTTAAAGTAAGATTTGGGACTACTTATTGTAATTTTATGTAAATTAGATAAAGTCCTCTCTATCCTGAGAAAAAGTCCACATGCAGTCCTTGATTGGACCGAGTTTGACTGTCCCTGTATAATGTAATTCAAAGAGACACACGACACCCAGTGGTTATTAGAAAAAACGCAGGAATGCAAAAGCCATGTAGAATGTGAAGGTACTTATCACCATTCTCAAGTTCACAAAATTAAGATGCAACCAGAAAAAGGAAGACACTGGACATGTTACAATCCACGTTAGAGAGTCAGTAGAGATGACCTTAACAGACTCAACACTTACGACACAAAAAAACTCTCAAAGCAAACCAACATCTTAAATACAAACCCAAATAATGTTTAATCTCCAGGAAAACATGACATCTATCATACTTTGGAGTAAACAGTAGCTCTTTCATGGCAACAGAGTAAATCCTGTAGATTTCTCTGTCAGAAAATAACATAATGAGATTTCCTGGACGGCATTGCACTGATTAAGTAAAGCCATCCTTCAACACCCTGTAGCTTTCTACACACCGAAGGCTATATTGAAGACAGACAGAGAGGAAGATGACTGCACTGGGCAAGTGAAGGAGTACACAAGGGCATGCTGCCCTCCAAAGTACTCTGGACTCCTGAAGTGGTCTGATGCTGCACAGATTAAAAGCAGTCACTGGGTCTTTTGCAGTCTTTTGCATAGTTTCCCCAAATCCTCAGTTGGCCTAAGAGTCTAGGAGTTGCAAAGGGGATATTAAACCCATCTTTGTTCTCCTCCAACATAATATGGTACAGAAGAGTGTAAAGAGCATCAAAGGTGCTTTATTCTTGATATGCCATCTATGTTAATCATTTGTCATTGTTAAATTATTGTCATTCTGCCTTCCCTTAATTTGGAGACATTTATGGTAAAGATGAATTGCAGATGGATACAAGAATCTGAAAGATGTGTACTTTGAAAAGGAAACGTAGCTAGCTACAGTTGAAATGTAGAAGAAAACTGAGCCATTGCTAAAATACCTTCATTAGAGAAAAATCTTGCTAACTCAACTGCTGGGTGAAATTCCATGACTTGTGATAGGCTTCAGGTCAGAGTAGGTGATCACACAGTATCTCTTTCATGCTTTGATATTTAAAAAATATTAATTATTAACAAAACCCACATGTGGAATGTATTTTCAAACAGATTTGGAGGTTTAATATTGTTTTAATGCCAACAACACGGCTAACATGAATATAAAAGGAAACACATTTGAGATTTAGTGCCTCTCTCTGAAAGGTGAAGCAAATACTTTATCCCGATGAATTCATTCTTTGGTTGAGACCAATGAAAACCTAGAGGCATCATTTGAACAATATTCTCCTATTAATGTATTAAAATTACATATGAGTAGTAGAAGGAACAAAGATATTTGTAGCAAAGTATCATAAATGTCAGACTTTGGTTCAATAAAATTAGATGAATAAAGCTATTTATTTGCAGACTAACAATGCAACACAGTACCTACTAAATTCTATTTTGTCTATGATAGCAAAATAAATCAGTGAGTATATGAAGAAAACAGATTGAGTACACTGTGTTTTCAGACAAACACCCAACCTCTCCAGTTCATTGTATTATGAAACCACATTCTTCTGACCTGGCTATGCTTTACTTCCAAAGTTTGCCAAATGTTTCTTTCTACTGTTGTGTTACGACAAAAGATTCTTTGTTCCTTAAGTATTTATGAAGTCCATGCATCAACACCTTTATTAACTGTTCAGTAACCACACAAGACCTACTTGCTTTTGTCCCTCTTAAGCCATGAAAGATGATTTCTGCATCTTTTCCTGGAAGAAAAAAGTCAACTTTTTTTTTTAAATAAAAAAACTTTTTTACAAATAAAAGTGTTGAAACACCAAAAGTGAGTAAACTTGCAGTCATACGTCACCCATATTCTTTTCACTCTTCTGTTGTATGACCAGAGTAAACAGGGAAGTAAATAAACAGCTCGTATTTACTTGCCAAAATGCTCACCTTTTGGATAAACAAACAAACCACAGTACAACTCATGAAAAAAGGAAAACATCCTGTTGCCACTGACAGTAATCACTGAAAGCACACAGTAAATAAGACCTCATATCAATAAAGAATCAAATGAAAGGAAAAGGGAGAGAAGGGACAATGGCAGAAATATTATTAAAACCACAGGAAAGGCGTATTTTGGAGCAGGGAGAATTCAAGTGGTAAGATTTGGTTTATTTAAAACACAGGTTTACCTTGACTAAACAAGAAAACTTCTCTATCAAACTGTACAGTATTTCAGTTCTCCTACCTGCTGCCCCTTGGATGAAGGCCTGGTATCACACATTCCAAATCTATACTGAATCACCTGAACAGCCGGTTGTCTGTCCCAAATACAGGTTGCTCGCTCTCTGATCAGCTGTTTTCAGTAAGCACCCACACATATTCCATATCCTAAGAAATCTGGTCTCTGTGGAGATCAGTAAGGGTTGTTTCTGGGGATAAGGCAACCAGGACCATGTCTGAGCAAGTATCATGATGCAATGGGATTCTCAGCATGCTTTTCCTAAGAACCCACACCTCCTGAACAGAAAGGAATCCAGATCCACAATCTAGAGAGCACACATCTCACAGTACTGTTTAGATGTAACTCAGAGCCAACTCTGGTATTTAAATACTCAAAAATACATCCTAGGGATATGTGTCACAAATGTTCTCTCACAGCACTTTGGATTAGTAGGACTGGAATCTGTTCTGTGCTGCATTTTCAAAATGACAAGTGTCATTTCACATAATCCCAGACATTTTTGTTTTGCATTTGACAGGTTATTTATGAGACTATGCTGAGATCAAAGGTCCTCCTCTTTTTTCACTCAGGAATTGTTTCTTTTTAATCAGCATGTTTCAGGTTCTTTCAACCATTTCTACTCAGGGAATGCAGTATCTTTGCTCAGCCCTTCCACACAGCCTTTTCAGTTTTCTCTAATGAAATGGCTTTCATGTTCAAGTGCAAAATATTCACAGACTTTCTGGGTGCAGGTCGTGTTTATGCAGTTTTCAGAACAAGAATAACTATTCTAGTTGAATTCATTGAACCGGAGGATTCACTTTCTCCTACTTATTTGCTCTTGGTTTATATGCAGTTCATGGAAAGTAAATCCACGTGTTTCTTTCAGTCTCCCGTTTACCAATCATGTAGAAGAACAAGGGTATCCTTTACACATAAGAGCGCCTCCTTTTGTCAAATTTTCCTTCCTTGAGACAAGTTTAAGGCTTTTAGACCTCTTTGGTGCAGCTTTCCTCATTTTCTAAGTGGCTGCAGTGCTTATATTTTTGCTCTCATCTCTTGGAATGAGAGAGGCTCAATAAAACTCTGAACTCCTGTGTGGAGATGCCCTGTATTCTTTTGCACAGTAATTTGTGTAAAAAATAACTGTCGAGCAAGTTTTGTGCAAAAATAAGTCGAGCAGCATCCCAAACTACTGGATCTGATCACCCAGTCTGATTCCCTCCTAAGTCCAGGCCAGGCAATAAAGTTTCAAGCCCTCGCACGCTTGCCCTGCTATGGGGTGCAAGGCCAACAGGAGGTACCCACACCATTTTTCAGTGAGGACGCTCCTTTCCGCCACGTCCCCGACAGCCGTGGCGGGACGGGTCTCCAGACCCCTTTTAAAGCCAACACGCTGGAGGATCCTTGCCCCCGACAGACCTTCCGTGCCCCCACGGCGTGCCTGCGCATCTAGAGCCGCCCCTCCCCACTTCACACCAGCCCGCACTGCGACCGAGGGCCCGTGCCGAGGAGCCTTGTGCCGAGCGCGCCCCCGCTGCCCCTCAGCACTAAGCCCTCGCGCTCCCCACGAAGCGCGCGAACCCCGCGTACCCCTACGCCCCCTGCGCGCGCCGCGCGAAGACGGGCCGCAGCAGCTGCAGCGGCCGCGCGCGCCCCCGGCGCACGCGCGCCGCAACCACCCCGCCCGCCGCCAGCGCGCAGCTGAGCTGGGCGGGCCGGCGCCGGCAGCTTCGCTGTGCGCATGCGCTCTGCGGGGCGCCCTGGCCGACAACTTTCCTCTTCCGTGGTGGGCTTGTCTAGGCGGCGGGGGAGGTTTGTGCTCCATGGTTGGGTGTTGCGCATGCGCGGCCCGGCGGGGTCAGAGCCGTGGCGGCCCGCACCCAGGTGAGTGTTGGCCCGGCCCGGCTCGGTCAGGCCCGGCCCGGCCCGGCGTGGGGGGCGGCCGTGGGGGAGCAGGGGGTGGTCGCGGGGCGGCCGTGGGGTCTGGGAGCTGTCGGCCGCCGCCGGGCCCTGCTTCGCCTCGGGCTCGAAAGCTGGGCGGCTCGGCTTCTCCTGCCGCCGGGCCCGCTGCCAGGGCTCCCCCTGCCCGGGCGGGCAGAGCTGCGGGGCGCCCCGGCCCGGCGTGCGGGCCGAGCGCCGGGAGGCGGCCGGGAGGCGGCAGCTCTGGCCGCCGCGGCGGGAGGGGGGGGGGCCCGGGCGGCGCGGGGCGCGGCGGAGCGCCTGCTAGCCTGCCCGCGGGCCTGCCCGCCTGCCGGCCCACGGGCGGGGGGACGTGGCGGCCCGCGGGTGGGCAGGGGTCAGCCGCGTCTCCAGAGAGCGGTGCTTCGGGTTTGTTTGTTTTCGGTTGTGGTTTTGTTGTTGTTATTGTTTCGGTTTCTTCCATAAGGGGAGAGAGGAAGATATGCTAGCGCTTCCCAAAGGTTCCCTCGATGCAAGGCTAGCAGATGGCGTGTTCTTATTTTACTTATTTCTAGCCCTCCTTCTGTTTCTAGTTCTGCTTTTTGGGGGACTAACGTCAATACATATCACTTTCTTAAAAGATATATTTGTTTTGGAAAGGGCTGAGTAATGAAAGTATGGATCAGGACTTAAACCTTATTATCCATTCCAGGGATAGTGTCTAGGTTGCTCTTACGTGGTTATGTTTGCTCCATACCTGTTAGCAGGTCATCAGGTGTGACTGAAGATGGAAACTAAAAACGATGCTGATGGATACCGAGGAAATTGTCTTCTGCTGACCGTTATCCAGCCTTACTTCTAGTTATACCGACACTCACCCTACCATCTCAGCACACTTGCCTAACATACAGATTTCATTACTGGAGGTGTCAAGGCTTGAGATCTTGGAGCAGAGTTCTATCAACCAGTTGTCAGGACCTTAAAAAGAAACTTGCCTTTTGGGGTAGATTATTCCAGAATGTCTGCTGCAATGTCATTTGAAGTAGCTTGCACTGGGTACAGCCATTATGGACTGCTGGACTGACTATGATCTGGACTGCTGGGTTCCTGTATTTGTAATTTAAATATACAGCTCTAAAATGAGACAGAACTTCAAAGGGTTGCTTTATAAGAAAATGATGTCTACAAATAATATTAGACATAATTTCTGCACTTAATCCTGTCGTTTTTCTGTTAGACAAACTCTTACCTACCTTCTTTAAGAGAAGCAGAAACTTTGCTCTGTCTTACTAGAGTCTGCCTACCCTCAGGAAGCAGCTGAAGGTTGTGACAAGTATGTAGTATGGGAGGCCACAATGTAACTATACATTTTTCTGATTTTCATAGTTTTTAGTTTCAGCCTTCCAGTGTTCTCATTCTGGGTGTGGGAAGAAGAGGGCATTTCTAAGGCCATGTCTCTCCTAGGAGTGCACTGCAGGTATAGTATGTGTTGCACTTTTAGCAGTATGGATTTTTTTAGTCTCAGCATGTTCTCTGATCATGTACTTCACTTTCTTTTCTCTGATGACTTACTTTGAGGTTAAAAAAACCAGACTGTATCAAGAAAACCACAGCTTTGCAGTTTCAGCTATGTTTGTTGTATGGGCTTCACCCAGCACAACTGACTTGTTTTGGGATTCAATCCCTGGGATAGCTAAGCTTTTGTAAGATAAATGTGGCCTGAGTAACTTTTAGTTTTTGAAAATAATACTGTTTGTGAATAGACTTTAGATTTTAGTTTGTCTTGCTTTTTTTTTTTTAATGGAGAAACATGTCTAATACATTAGTTTGATATCTACATTTAATTTTTTGAATAATTTGAGGTATTTCTATTCTGAAGGTCTCCAACTAGCTCACTAGCAGTGTAAAAAGAGATACTCAACTATCCCACTTAACTCAGAGGAGCACTGATTTAGTTACAGATAACAACCACACAATTTGTATCTGCTATTTTATCCTGGTTACTGGTGGTCCTGAACTTTGTAGAATTGGGCATTATGCTTTTAGCAGATTAAGAAATTGCATTCTTATTTTCCAAGTTCTATGTATACAGTAAGGAATTATTACCTTGTCTGACAGAATTTATAACACAGTTAGAAATTACTTATGCATTGTGCTCTCCAGATGAATCTACCATGTACTTAGAAATTTTAAGTGTGAAATTATTCTACTTTGGGTAATTCAGTAAGATTGCCTGACCTGTGCTCTGTACTCTGACTTGCTCAGCTACTGAAGAAAAGAGCTGAATGAGACAGGTGCATTCTGCCCCTTCAACTGCATCCATGTCTTCAGTGCTTCTAAAATATCTTCGATTCATTGATGACATTCACAGCAGTAGTAAAAAATAAAGACATTTTAAAAAGTAAAATATTTGTACTATATTTCTCCTTCAATTAATTTCTTCCTTCTTGTACGTTAGGTTTTTTGGCATCTTTTAACCTACCCTAAAGGACTCGACAGTGATGCCTCGTATGATATTGTTCTCACGTATCTGGTGCAGGAGATTGAAAGATTGGATCATGGAAGCTTTCCTGAAACTGAAAAAAATCAGCTTAAGGCAGATGGAAAGCTTTATTCCAGAAGATTATACAAAGAATGTGTCAGTTGATGCAAAGAATTGTTGCATATCTTTTCTACTCTGTAATGTGTTATTAAACATGAATAGTTGTGAGAGTTTTGCAGGAAATAAACTGTGGTTTTATTGGCCATCTTTTGCTAGTCTAAGTGTGTGATAAACATAGCAGATGTGAAGCTAGGAGTTGAATAGAATTCTACAGATTGCTTAACAGATACAGCAAACCTTTGATAACTAGAATTCCATAAGGACAAATGTGGCCTCCTTCATTGTCTTATACTGATGGAACTTTCTTTAGATTGAGAAAGCCCCTTTTTGTTATTAACTATTTTTGTAGTTCATCGATGGAGAAGGTGTTAAAAACTGCCTGCAGCAATATGGAAGCATGGAGACAAAATAGTCATCTATTGAGACCCTCAAGGAATTATTGGGCAAAGTGATGGAAATGAAGAGCTTGAACCATCACTTCAGCATGGCGGCAGCTGAATCTGACAAGGACTCTGGATATTCAGGTTTCAAAACCCCCTGCTTTACCTTTCTTTTGTGTTATCTTACTCAGACTTTGCTTTTATTGGTGATGTGTGACAAATCTGACTTTAGCCCCTTACAGATTGTGTCTTGTTACCTGGGATGGCCTTTGTATGTAAGACAGCTTGCATCTGCAGTCATCCTACCATCAAACTTTTTTTGAAGTGGAGCTTTATGTAGTTATAAAGTTCATCTTGTGAATTTGAATGGCATGGGAATTTAAAATGTGCCTAATAAAGGAATGAATGGAAGAATCTCAGACTTCAGAGTCTGGAAGTGGGGATGGCAAAATTAATTTTGTTCTTTGCAGTGATGAATGAACTGTTGGATTATGCTGTCTGATGTCTCTTACGATTTGACCAGATTGTCAGCAGAGCCTGATAAACCAGAGAGTACTTGTTATAACATCAGTAAAATGTAGACATGGTGTGCCGTTTTAATACTCAACAAAACTGTGCAAAGATGACCTTTAAAAGAAAAAAAAATGCTTTTGAGAGAGACGTACCTTATTAGGTTTGTAGATAGATTTCAAGACACAAAATGCCTGCAGCACAGGCTACAGCTGTGGCAATTCTGGAGCCTGTAGTTCTTTCCTGCACCAAGTTTTAGAGCAGTCTTCATGATAGTGCATGGTCCCTTGGAGACTAAATACAAAAGAACAAAAAGTAATAGATTTTGGGGAGACAATATCTGCATGAGAACTGGCCTGAAATATAAAGCCTTTTATTAAAGGCTATTTGACATCTGTCACAGCAGGTCTAATTTTATTGGTATCCCAGAACTAAACCTTACAGTTCTTCTTGGCTTGGTTGAAAGGAAGTACAACAGTAGAACTGAAAGGAGGTAGCAAGCATGCTGCATGTGAACAACTAACAGCTGAATTCTGCATCTGACAGATGGAAGTTCAGAGTGCCTAAGTGCTATGGAGCAGACTGACTCGGAGGACGTGCTGAGTGCGTTGTGTTGGAACGCAGAGGATGGGCCTTGGCCATGTCCAATGACCACAAGCAACTCCTTTCCTGCACTTTCTCCTATGGTCGTAATGAAAAATGTGTTAGTTAAGCAGGTAGGGAAGAAATAATTTATTGAAAATTACTGCATGTTCTTAAATTATTTTTTTAATTAATATTTTTCCTTTCAAAAAGATTTTACAAAGTTGTTGCAGTCCAAAAAGTAACTGGTAACTTGAAAAGTTCTATTGTGGCAGGCTGTTCTTTTGAGGGGACAGCTAGAATCACTAAGATGGAAAAGATGTGCAGTGGACAATCTCTGCTACGTCTTCTAAACCTCCTTGTCTCAAAAGGGATCCTCAAAAAATAGAACTTTAAGAATGTTACATAAACAGCACCAACACCAAGCCAAAAAATGTGTTTTTCCTTTTGAAAGATGATGTTTTCTTTTTCATTTGATAAAGACAGTAAAGTAGGATGATGGGTTTTGCTTCCTAGTTCTTAGGTTCTAGAAGTGCTTTATATGCAATGAGAAACACTAATCCAGAATGTTATAAATGAAAAAATGAAATCTGTATCTGAAGTTAGTTGCGGTATCTTTAACAGTTGTTTCTCTTAATTGCATGTGATTGTTCACATTGCAACAATTACATTCCCTATTTATGTCCTCCAATATCTTGTTATATGTTGTTCTTCCAGCATATCTGTGAGACTCCTAACTTTTACATTGTAACAGAAGATATGAGAGTTTCAAATTTGAAGTATTGCTGTATTATTAGACCTCTTGCTCAGTATTCACTCATATTTTCCAAGCAGAGCAAAAAGTTCTTCAGCGTTTTTTATTTAGAATGCATCTGAGAATAACAGTGAGAAGGGGAAGAAGGAATATAGATCCCGATTCTTCTTCTACCAAATCTGTTACGGCAACAAGAAAAAAATCTATCGAATTCAAATATTGTGAATCATTGCTAACAGAGGTATGGGTTTCTGTTAGTTTTTGGCAGATTATGTATTTGAGGGTAAGCTGGTTCTGATCTCTGAGCATTGTGCTTTATCTTGACAAGAGACAATTTTATTTTATAGTCATGTTCCTAGATGTGTGGACAAAATACTGTCTAAACAATTGCTGAAGTTTTCATATAGTAGGGAGTAGGCAAGCTTCAGCAGAGGTTGATAGCCTTTAGCCCACAGCTCACAAGTTTTACACAGATTGCAGTGGTAGTCTAATGTTAAACTCCAGGTTGTGTTGCAGTTAGGAGAAGTAGCTAATAGTAAGTAGCTTTTAGATATAGAGATATATATATATATAAAATATATATTAAAAATAGAAATTGTAGTGTAGCAAAAAGGGAATTTGGGGAGGAAGAGTTGGAGGTAGATAAACTTGTGAGACTCAGTTCTCTTGCAGTGCCTCATAACATCTAAGTCTATGTATGATTAAGGACAATAATGCTAAACTAAAGAATGATTTTCTGCAATAAACAAAAGCAGCAAGTCTAGGTCAGAATAATAATGAAGTGTCTTTATGCCTCTTTCTATTATGCCTAGTTACCTCAGAGAATCATGCTGGTCATCTTTCTAAAATGGTCTTTTCAACACAGCGCTCAGTTGGGCTCACTGAACAAAACAAAAAAAAAAAAAGGCAGCATCTGGTTACTTCTGTTTATTTGTTCCAGTTTCAATTTCAATCAGCATCATCCTTCTGTCTTAGAACCACTGTGGTCCTGTGCAGTGATGGTTACCTGCTGTCCCAATTTCAGAGTGTAAACAGCTAACAATAATGTTACTAAAGAAAAAAAAAAAAATCAATCAGGGATTAATTCTCTGAAACACAGTGCTGCTTGTGACAAGGTTTCTGTAAGTCCTGTAGAAGTCCTTAATAAATAGGAAAGGCTCTTTAGACAAGTGTTACTGCTACATGCATGATACGAGTTCTCAGTTAAAAAACAAACCAAAATAAAAAAAACCAAAAACCAGAAAAACATCCAAAACAACCAAAAACCAAGCCACTTTGCAGAATTAGTAAAATAAACATGTCCTCCTCTACTGAAAATGAGATTTTGGGTGGGAGAAGAGCAGAATGCAACGTGGAAAGGAGACGAAAGTGGATAATAGAGATAGGACAAAACAGGAACAAGATAAACCGTTATCACAGCTCTTTTAGCCTCGATGATTTTTGGGGCTCTGCTCTGCTAGATACTGTAGAATTGTGCAATAAATTAGACCTTCTGACCCCAAAACCTTCTTCCTTAAGAGTGCATGTTCTGTCTTGTGTATGTATAGCCATGGTATTTATATACTTCCTCACTCCTAACATCTACAGATGCTTTTCTTTTGAATGTTTGTCCTTTATTCTTTGATAAGGTAGTAATATTTATTTTTTTTACCGGTAGTTGTTCTCTACGCCTATTCCATAAGCATCCTGTCTGTTGAACCAAAGAAATTCTGTGCCAGTAGGTAATTGAATCTCCTCTCCAAGTCAGTGTCCTAATCAGTGGGTAATACCCACTTTGGACAAGTACAAGTCTTTTACTGGGGGAATGTACTTCAGCAAAGCATGTTAGCATTTGCCGGTTTAAATCTTATGAGACTGGGAGAAAGGAGATAGATTTCAGATTACTCAGTACTGTACCAAAAATAATAAAATGTATTTGTGCTAGCTAAAAACTGTGTCTTCAGCAGCCCTGCCAATAACATTCCAAGTCATAAGGAACTGGAAAAGCAGCTGACAGTATATTATATTAGTGTAATTCTAGTGGTGATGACCTAAATATATTAAGTGAGATTTTTCCTTCAGAAATAAATAGTATCTCTTACTCTAGACCATTTGATATGTTTGGAGAAAGGCAGGCATGCTTTTTGGCCAGGAGCTGTCATGAATATCTGCAGTAATGTATTGGAGGAGGAAGAGGTAATTTCATGTAAAAATTGTGTTCCCCAGTATTGCAGAATATGGCTTGTAGGAGGGAGTAAAAACTTGGGTATTTTTCTTGAAATGTAATGCTTTTAAGGTTTATCAGTGTGCACTATTTCATCAGAGGTTTGGAGTTAAAACTGCTCTGGGCTTACAACAGGCTTTTTTCCTTGTATTTGTTGATATTCAGCATTTTCTACTTCATGGTCTTAAATTTATTGAAACTGTGTATTGTACTGAAGATTGCAAGACTTTCTGAACAGCTGTCATCTATTTTAAATAACCATTTTAAAAGCCTGCTATAAGAATAGAATTGACAGGATCAGAGTTGTTGCCTTTCAGCAAATATGGAGTCTGGTTTGTTCCTGAAACGTATGTGCAATCTTTCTTTGGCTCTTGTAAAATATTTCATAACCACAGTGCTTAATTATTTTTCAACTTTTCTGTATGCTTGTTGTTCAACCCCAAGTCTGGGTCAAACTTCTGCATGAGCATTGTACAATATAAGCATGCACTTCATCCTCATTTAGGAAAGCATGTATAAATTCAGACTGAATTGTTTTTAAATGTATCTGATGTTCCATAGTAAAAGGATGATGAATTACAGTTTGATTCTAGTGCTATGCTCGGTTGTTGGAGAAAGAGAAGGATGAGTTTGATGGAAAACTGTTCAGAACATATTAATTGGGCAGTGTGTATCAAATATGGAGAAATGGCATGGTCCACCTGTTTCATTTAAGGTTTTTTAGGCCTATTCTACAGTATTGTTGTAAGACTACTTTTTTTTTTTTTTTTTTTTCCCCCCATTTGTGTTTCTCAGGGGAGTTCATCACAGCTCCAATCTTGGACTGTGCAGCCATCCTTTGAAGTGATTCCGGCTCAGCCACAGCTAGTGTTTCTTCGTCCATCAATCCCACCTCCCATTAACCCTTATCCTGTTGGGAAAAAGAGGAATGACTCCACTAATTACCTGCCCATCCTGAATTCTTATCCCAAAATAGCACCACAGCCCTGCAAAAGAGATCACTCCTTTGATCTAGAAGAACGTCAGGAAACAAATTGCCATAAACGATTCTGCACAGAAGCACCCAAGATGGAGACTTCTCCTGTATCAAGGAGCACAGGCTTGCCTACTAGTCCTTTTGCCCACCTACCAGTTAGCTTTAAGACCCCTCAGGATTCTCACCAGCAAAGTTCTTCAACTCTGGTGACAAGTGGAAAACTGCCAGCTCTTCCTGGTTTTCATCGTGTTTCCAGTAACACTCAGAAAGTGCCAGGTTTGACTCCCCTTTTGCCTTTTGGAACTCTGCAGTCAACAAAATGCACCCCTCCTGAGAGCGAGAGTGCAGCACAGACTACGGTGCAATCTGCAGTGTGGAGCCCCCCATTGATACCAGAAGAGATTTGCACTACCCCTGAGCTGCTTTTGCAACAACAGAGCAAGTGCAGACGCTTTCAGAATACACTCGTCGTGCTACGCAGGTCGGGATTGCTGGAGATCACTTTAAAAACGAAGGAGCTCATTCATCAGAACCAGGTGACTCAGGCTGAGCTTGACCGGCTGAAGCACCAAACACAGCTTTTCATTGAGGCAATAAAGAACAATGCTCCACAGTCATGGGCAGAGCTAGAAGCTTCTCTAGCAGGATCTGATAAAGCTGACAGAAACCTGGAAGACCCCACGTATCCCAACATGTAGTAGAAAGGTACATAGCTGTTGATCAAGTTATTTCTGTGCCTCCTATTTCCTGTCTCAAGCTTTTACTTGAGCATTTTCTGAGTCCAAGACTTGCGAAGTGGCATGTTGTTAACAGCTTGTCTTGTGGGACTGGAATAGCATGGTGGGGTCTTGACAGAGTGGGTACTTACTACTTCAGTGTGACCTCGAACTCCATGCTGACTCTGTGTACTTCCTTGGACTTGAGAAGCTTGGAAGTGCTCTGCTGGCATGTTCCCATTCTTGCCGTGAAAAAGACAGTCATTTGCAGTATTCTGCAAGCAAGCATCTTCCTATTCCTATCTTCAGACAGTCAATTTTGAGAATGGAACAACAGAACAGGCCCCAATATTAGGCCATCGTCAGTTGCAAGTAGATGAAGGGAGTTGGTGTGAGGAGAGGAAACTTACATTGATGGGGTGGTATCTTGAGGCTATTGCTGTCCCTTGTAGCAGTCTTACACTGGGGTTTTAACATGTTTGAATTAGTGGAGATCTGTTTATGCTGAAGCAGCATTCTATATTCTTTGCAGTCTTTGGTCAAAGGTGTCTTAGGACCCAAGTGAAATTAAATGTTTTGATGATCTCCCTAAAAATTTTATCTACTTGAGTTTGAACTTTCTTTAAAAAACAAAAACAAAAAACCAACAACCCAAACCACATAAATTTATATAATTCCTAGCCTGCTTGCCTTGAGATATAGCAAACACCACTTTGTGCATGAGATATTAGGCCTTACTAGTAAAGATCCACAGTAGTCATGTTAAAAAAGCAGTTCTACAGGCATTTATTTAATTTCAGTTTATCTAGACACTTAACTGTGTCACCCCCTCCAGTCTGAAGGGTGTTTCTTCAGAGGCAGTCTGTGTAGAGAACTAAGAATGGCTTTGTCTAAGAATGTTATGGAAGCTGGATTGTTTATGCTATGTTCCTTTATGTGTGACAATGTTTTTAAAAAATTGTGAAATCTAGGTGACGGGGTATTTTGATGCTTTGATCACTTCTGTCATCTGATTCTTAAAAAAAGAAAGTTGAAAGTGGAGTGTATGTCTTGCTAATTTCTGACTAGACATTTGCATTTTTTGATGCCTCTGGGAATCAATATTGCAGAAGACTGTAGAGAATGTTTTTGTAGTCTTCCTCAAATATGTGCATTAGAGAAATTGTAAGGGGCTTTTCTTTTGTAAGGGGTTTCGCCCTTTTCACACTGATGAAAAGAAATGCTGTACATGACTGACAAAGAGGAGAATTGGAGTCATATTTGTACTAGCCATAGGCTGAGAGGAATTTTGTGGCAGGATTTGCCCTGGTGCAGCTGTAGCAAACTAGTAGCCATGCCTCTCATGGTATCCTGCCCACCTGCGGAAGACTAGTGCAGTATGTGGGAATTAATTAAAAGAAAAGTGTTCGTAGACAGTGTTCTGCAACGTGCTTTTTTTTAAATACACCTGCTATAATTGTGCATGCTTGGATGCCTCATAACTTGCAGCACAGCAATATCAAAACTCAGCCAGCAAACCTGGAAGGCAGCATAGTACAGTGTAATAATGTAGGACATGTCCGATGTAGCTCTTTCAGATTAGTCGTCATATCTGCACAGAATGACGTTTGGCAGGATAGATGTATTGGTACCTTAGGCCATTTGTGAAACAATCCCAAAAGATAAGCTTGTTTCTTCTGAGCTTCTTACAGGAAGGAGAGGAGGCAGTAGGAGGCAGTTCCTTCGATCTGATACCTGTAATAGGCCTAAAGGTGTGATGTGAGAAAATGCATATGATATCTTTCCTACTTCTCCTAAAATTCTTCTACCCACTGAATAGAGAGGATAATTTGAAGTTCAGAATATATGTATTTTTAGGAAGTGCTTGTCCTAGAAAACAAGATGATGAATTCAGGCTACTTAGAGATGAAAGAAAGTCAGAAAAAAAGTCCAATCTTGTTTGAGACAAGAAAATGTGAGTCTACCGGTGACTTCTTCATCTTATTTCCACTGCTCTGACAGAGAGTAAGAGAAATTTGGCCTTGCAGGGTAAAACCCTCTGACTTAGGGAGTCTCTAGCTGATAGAAATATCTCAGTCCACACAGAACCACATTTATTTTTTTCTCCCCTGACAGCATTGAAAGTGGGCTGAAGTGGGTGTGCTTATAGCTGATGGGCCTTTCAGCTGGTGTAATTTGTATAAATATATATTCAATAAATCTGTGAATAAAGTCCAGCAGCTGGCTAGAAATCTCCTACTGGGCATCAGTCCAAACTTAAATAGTATTTGCTGAACTAGAAAAATCTACTCTGAAACTATTATATGTAAATCTGGGGTCCCTTAGGAACCATATCCCTAGATAACCGCAAATCTTGATGCAACATCTATTTAAGAAGGATGTTGAAGGTCTCTAGTGATAGGTAGGTCATCAAATACCATTCTATTCAGTTTCTCTTAGCTGCCTTTATTCCTGGAAGCCCTGATAAACCTTTAAACAATATGGGTTTCCTTTTTTGGCTGCAACTTAATAGCTTGGAACTGTGTTGAGAAAATTAGTTGACTGCATCAGTACCAGAATAGGTCCTGATTCTGGGCAGGATCTGGAAGTGGTCCAGTAGATTTGAGCAGAAACATTAACCGCTGATTGGAAACCTGTAAGCAGTGAATTTACAGATTTTTTTTTTTTTTTTTTTTTTTGACCTTTGAAGCAGCAAGACTTTGTATTAACAAGTTAGATGAAGACAGCTGTCCCAGTCTAAAAAGTCAATCGGATGGTCCGCTGGGGCTTGAGTTGCTGCTGACAACTAGCAGGTGGGGTAGCTTCATGGGTCAGAGAGACTGCTGGTTTTCTATTAAGTTTTATTAAAAGTTGGTATTTTTGATTATTTTTACTATGTATTTTTGAAATTCTACGGCTCTAGTTGGAATGTAAAGATTTTCTGTACTTTCTAAGTCTGTTGCCAGCTCTAAATACAGTAGCCTAAGAACTCTGTTATAGAACATGACCTTTTTGTTAAACCTTTACAGAAACAGACTGTGAAATATGAATGAAATAAAGTATATACTTGAAAAGTTTGTGGGTTATTGTACTGCTGTTAAACTGCAAAGTCCTTGGTTCCAAAGCATGCTTTACATAGAGCTCCACAACAGCATGTCACCCATGTGGGAAAGTGCAGTTCCAAAAGTGATACTATGATGTATCTCCTGAAGAGAGTCATGTGAGCTTTAACAGTATGTATGAATTAAAGGATCTCTGGGAGGAGCATGAGTAAAAGTGGGCTGTACAGAACTCTAAAAATATATTGTCGTGGGTGACCATTACCATAGATCTGTCGTTAACAACCTGGAAGAATTTTTCCATCTTTGAACTGTTATCTCTCTGTGATGACTGTACATTATGCTCACCGTCTGTGCTGGATGAACTCCTACACTTCATCTTAATCCTGTCAGCCGGGTATGCAGAAGTTCTAAATTGTGAAGTAAGGATCTTGGCTACTGAAAGAATTACTTGAGTGAAAAATTCTATTCTCTCTCTTGAAGAACATTCTCCAACTAAATCTGTATAACAGCTTTTCACTAAAACACATTTTTCAAAATGTTGCCATCTTTACAAATTCTTTTCTTTGTTCAGAGAGGACTCTTACAGTGAGAACTAGGCAGTCATGTCCAGAACATCCAGCAGCCTCGTGGCATGAGATCCTGTCCTAAGGTACAAGAGATTCTGGTTAAAGTTCTTGGCACCAGACAAAGTAATAACTTGAGTCTCGTTACTTTACATCCAAAAAGGAGTGCCATCAATTGAAGTAATTTTATTCCCTGAGACTTTAAACTGTTCGCAAATTTTGTATTCATAGAAGGTATGGGTACAACTCAAGCAGGAAATTTTTATGTCTGTGTCACTTGTGGCTAGCTTTTTCCTTTACGTGGTGAAATCTATCGGTAGGATGTCAGGCCTGTTCTCCTTTATTTCACTGAGGCCAGAAAGGTGAATTGCTGCTTTCAGGTGCACTGCATCTGTCTTGTTTTTCTTCCTCAAGATACACAAACAGTCTGAAAGCCCCGCAGGCTTGGGCTGAGTAATCTCCTGGCATGCAAAATTTCTGTCATCCGCTAGCTTGAATGTAGTATGCTGTTACTGCCTTTGTTCTCGTAATTGCTGGGACAGAAATGCGGGGTCCCTACCTACACAATTTTACACTCTTACTGCATCTAGGTGATGCGTCTGTGTACGGCAGGGTTTTGTTACTAGGGGATGGTCTACAGGTATGGCTCCTGTGAAAAGCTGCTTGAAGCTTCCCTGGCTCTCGGTTGGACCCATCGCTAGCCAAGGCCAAGCCAATTGGCGATGGTGGCTGCACCTCTCCGATAATGTGTGAGGGGAACCTGAGAGCAGAGGTAGGAGGGAGGGAAATACCTATAAAAACACCAAGGTCAGGGAAGAAGGCGAAGGATGAGGTGGAGAGCCAGAGCAGAGACCTGCCTGTAGGCTGTCCCCCAGCTGCCCATGGATGTCTGTGGTGGAGCAGATGGTGACCTGCAGCCCGTGGAGGACCCCGTTCCGGAGCAGGTGTCTGCACCCAAAGAAGGTCGGGATATGGAGGGAAACCTGTGCTGGAGCAGTTTGTTGCTGGGAGGACTGCAGCCCGTGGAAGGGACTCACTGTGGAGCAGTTCATGAAGAGCTGCCTCCTGTGGGAAGGACTCACATCAGAGAAGTTCGTGGAGGGCTGTCACCTGTGAGAGGGATCCCCTGCTGGAGCAGGGGAAGAGTGTGAAGAGTCCTCCCCCTGAGGAGGAAGGAGAAGCAGAAACAACTTGTGATGAACTGACCACAGCCCCCGTTCCCTTTCCCCCGGCACTGCTTGGGGGAGGAGGTAGAGAAATCAGGAGTGAAGCTGAGCCTGGGAAGCAGGGAGGGCTGAGTGGAAGGTATTTTTAAGATGTGGTTGTATTTGTCACTGTCCTACTTCGTTTGAGTGGTAAATCAGTGGTGGTAGTGTTCAAATTAAATTGATGGGTTTTCTTTTTTCCCAAATCAAGTCTGTCCTTTGCCAGTGAACATAATTGGTGAGTGAGCCCTCCGTGTCCTTGTCTCAATCCCTGAGTCTTTTGTTATGTTTTCACCCCCCCATCCCACTGGGGTGGGAGGCAGTGGGAAGAGAAGTGAGTGAGCAGTCGCATGGTGCTCCACTGCTCTCTGAGCTTAAACCACGACAGGTTACTTTCAGGCCACCGTGTAATGCAGCCATATAGCCCCATCTGTATTGCATGGTCCAGAGTGTCCAAAATGCATAAGACTTCCCTTCTTAAATCCTCCTTTGAGGTGTGTCCATGAGACAAACTGCCCGAGAAGGCAGAAAAAACACCATGTGTTCAGTCTGCTCTCGTTTCCAAGACTTCTTCAAATTCTTGTTTGAACTAAAGTATGTTTTTAGAGGAAGCATCCTGCTTTGATTTGAAAGCTCCTAGCGATGAAGAATCCACCCAAATTGTTCAAAATGTAATTACTTACTGTTAAAAATGTGCCCCTTACATTGAGCCTGAATTTGTAGTTTTTCAGTATCCAGCTGTGAGATCTTTTGCCTTTTGTCTGCTAAACTGAAGTGCATGCTGTGACATTGCTGTTTTCACTGTAGGCATTTACAAACTGAACAAGTCATTCTTCAGCTTTCTTTTTAAAAATAACTGATTAATCTCTTATATCTTTTGAATCCTTTATTCATCTGTGGCACTATTCTTTGGATCCTTTAAGATTATTTAAATGCATTTTTAATTGGAACACTAGCATTAATAGCAAATCAGGATTGCTAAAGGAGTTGTATCAACACTCCCTACTGCTACTCTGCTTCATTTTTATAACAGCATTGGCCATACCATCAGATTAAAAGTCTAAATCATCCTTGGACCTGTTGCTTCTGCAGTTGGTGAACGCCTGTCCTTTAAGTATGTTTCCACACTCCTTTAAATGCAGTTTGCAGCCAGAAAGCAAAACAAACTTTTTAATAAGTGACCAATTGCATTCATTAGTTACCTCTGCTTCTCTCTCTGAGAACTTTTTCACCTTTAGATTTTAAAGGTAATTTTACGTTGTATTCCAATTATTAAAAATAGTATTAAATAATGTTACAATCAAGAACCAATTTGATACCATTTTCAAAGGAAGAGTAGAAGATAGTGTTTAATAGATCTGTATACAATTCATAAACCACAGTTGTAATGCATTTCACACCATCTGGTTAAGTTGGTATAATTCTGGCTTCAGTCTGTGTCATGTGGCACACTGTTAAATGCCCATTAGAAGTATAAATATTATGTCCATGCTGGCTTTCTCCTTAACCAATTTTTAATTCTAGTTCATCAAAATTTTACCACCTCTATTTTTTATAAGCTTCATTAATTTAAATTACTTTTGTTTTCTTTGTCCTTGATGAATCAAAAATTATGGCTTATTCCATTATATTCTCTCAGTTGCCCAGTCTATATTCATTCAGATCTGTCTATCTACCAACTGAAAAGCTGATACTCTATTCGTTCTTCCACCCCCTCAGTCCTCAGAAATCTTTCCTTGTGGTCTGAAATTCATTGAAATAGTTTTGATGGTCCAAAGACCTTGGTTAGCTCCTGTTAAATTTTCAATCACAACTTATTCAGACTTGCTGACTTTAAAATGTTTAATAACTCTTTAAAATGTCCTGAATTACTTTTTGAAGTGGAAATCAAGCTGCTGTCATGATACGAGAGGAATACATCTGGCTTTTTTCTAATTGCTCAACAGAATTTTTTGTGAAATGCTTTTGCCATTCTGCACTGCAGCAATGTAATTTCCATCTTGAAATGGAGCACTGCCAGCATAAAAATTTCTTCTGCATCTTGTACATCTTGAGAAATGGAGGAAGTGGGCTTTCCAGGGCTGAAAGGAGAGTTTCATCAACTTCTTCATTGTTTTCTTCGTGTTCTTACTGTGATTAAATTAATTTAGTTTAATGGAACTGGAATGCCTCTTACCATGCCCTCTTAGGCAATTTTACCTTTTTTCCACAGCAGTAGAAAGGAGGTTTATTAGGCCACTTGTATGTACCAAGACTAAGAAATCCAATAACAGACAGAAAACCAATCCTTATTGTTTTTTAATAGATACAACTGCTTGAAAAAATTATATGTTTTCAACAGAAAACTCCCATGTTTTTATTGGAAATGAAAATGTATTTTGGCTGGAAGCTTAGTGTTTTGCAGCATTAGTCATAGCATTCATTTCTTAGTGAATCTCAAGCACTATGGAAATAGTCTGAACAGTGGGGGTGGGGGAAGATGTTACTTCCCTTTACTCTCATCCCCTTCTGGATTGTTTTGGGTTGCCTGTACAGGAAACAGAACCCTAACTTTGATGAGTGGTTCCATCACCTCATGCTGAAGAAGCAGAAGGCCGGATAGACAGGCAGAACTGCTCAATCGTCTGTGATGAAGGAGACTGATAGAGAGCTCCTGAGTAAGTGAGGATGAAACAGCATCTCCTAAGAAAATTACTAGCTCAATGAGTACAAATATCATTTTCTCACCATATCCTTAAAAATTTTAATTAAAAAAAAAAAATATTAAGGGTTTTGTTTGGTACAAAACATCACTGTGCCAGATAGGCCTTGTTCTGCAATTGCCAGAGGCAGCGTTCAATGCAATGACTATTCTGTGAGATGAGCAGTGTTTAGTGTGGAAAGTGTGAAATACGAGTCGACAGTAGGAAAGCTGTTTTACCCAGAGTGAATGTTAACAATGCCTATTGTTTTGTATTCTTACTAAGTATTGTCTCCCATGCAAATGATAATGCTATACAACATGTCCAAACATACTCGGAAGTCAGAAGAGGATAGTCTTCATCAAAGTGAAATTAGCTCTCACTGTCCAACATCCTATCGCTGACCATGCTTGCAGCATGCTTACACAACAATGCTTTCTGAGAACACTCTGAAAGTGGGTTGCTGACATCAATTGTGTGCGAAATGGCCAGAAAGAGTTCTGAAACATTTGTTTCCACACTAATTGTGCAAGGAAGGCAAGTTTGAGCTTGAAGATAATAAT